GTTCCTTTAAAATATCCAGTAAAAAAAATTTCCAACAGCTAAATTCCGGCGAAAAAACTTTATTCTCAGAAGTGCGTTTTTCAACCTCTAAACCACCATATTGAACTACTCTGCATTGCGATTCGGAACCGGAATCGAACCTGGGTCCTACCAAATTGTAGTACGCAGCTATGACACTCGGGTACCAGGACCCCAACTCACTTGCTTTGTTTGCATAGTCTAGAAAGAGTCATTGAAAATGCCCCGAACCGCATTAATTTTGGGGTCTAACTGAAGGACTTAATTCGGATCAACTGCATATGAAAAATTAACAAAAAATACAAAATTTATCAATCTATGAGAAACTCTGTGCCCGCTGATGGTGGCAGCGAATAAAAATACTAGTTAGAGAAGGCATTTCCAAATGGCGTAAATTATGTAGCACAGAATAGAAATTAATACATAGTGTGCTTTATTGGATTCGGTCAAAAAATTAAATACACACAGCTTCATGTGTACATAAATAAGTTTTGTCTTGTCAAATTTTTAAGATTTCTAAAGAACGAAGAGCATCGGAAAATAATGTAATTTTTTGAAACCTACTTTTTGATGCAGAAATGCTTAGATGCTCTAAGAACATGTCGATGGCTGAGTGGAAGATAGCCCTATCTCAGCAGCCAGTTCTAAATCGCCCTATCTAGAAAATTTTTTCAGAATTTGGTTGAAGAACGCCCTATTTCAGAATTTTACTGAAAAACACCCTATCTCCCAATTTGATTGAAGAACGCCCTATCTCAGAATTAGGTTCAATTAGGTATCTCAAACGAAAATACAGAATTTGGTTGAAGAACGCCCTATCTCAGAATTCGGTTCAAAAACGCCCTATCTCACTTCAAAACGTATTGAAAATGTGCTGATATAGGGCACTTTTGAATCGGCAGCTGGGATAGGGCGTTTTTGAAACGAATTCTGAAATAGGGCGTTCTTCAACCAAATTCTCAAAAAGGGCGTTCCTGAAAAGTTCTTTGAGATAGGGCGTTTTCGAACTGGCTGCTGAGATAGGTCGATCTTCCACTCAACGGTCGATATATGCTTGCGTCACTCGCGGGCACTGCCGGGCGCTGTGATGGCTATAGCTGAGTTTGCAGAGGTGCTTGCTGTTATTGGTTTCAAATTAAATTGAATTTAATGGACTTCAAACTCAAAAAGATTCTAAAAATCCGAGTAAAAAGTTGAAAATTTAGCTGAAACTTTGCAGATTTTTTATAATTTTTGCACAATGTTTGAAATGTGGTGTTTGTTATATAATGAGCTAGACTTTTATGGAAAAATAATAAACATTAAATAAACAAAAGAAGAACTTAATCAGCTGATCACAATTGTATGTACATACATGTGTACATCTATATGTAGGTGTATGTATGTATGTAAGTGTATGTATGTATGTATGTACATTAGGGCAAGTTAATTTGTATGGATGAAAAAAAAATTTAAAAATCGTAAAAAAAGCAAAAACGTTATCTACATTAAATTCTAAGAAAATTCTCTGAAGAAACCATGGGTCTAAAATCAAACCCTAATCCGCGCCTCTCGACTTGAAAATTTTTTTCCTCTTTCGCTAAAATTATTTTCTTTTTTTGAAATATATTATGTTTTATTATATTATATTATAGTTTATGCAATACAGGTATTGTTTTGAGACTAATCAAAATATTCAATTATCAAAAAAGCAAAAAAAAATATATATATACTTTTTTAATGAAAAAAAAATTTTGAGTGTAGAAAACATGTAAAGTGCAAAACAACTACCTTACTAAACAATTTTGTTCAGAAAATTCGATTTCTTTTTGGAAAAACTATTTTTTCTAACATTTATATTTTTGGCAAAGGCGGCCATATAAATTTTCAAGTCGAGAGGCGCGGATTAGGATTTTATTTTAGATACATGGTTTCTTCGGAGAATTTTCTTAGAATTCTATGTAGTTTACGTTTTTGCTATACGATTTAAAAAAAACCCGCCCTAATGTACATACATATACATATGTGAATGCTTCATTGTATGTATGAACTCAAATATGTGGCTCTAAGTTCCAATTTCAAATCTAAAGTATAAACATAGCTGGAATGTATGTTAATTATGAGTTCGCATTTAAAAGTAAGGTGGCATTGGTAGTTTTTTAAATGCATTCGATAAAACAGGGAATTTTCGAAAGAAAAAATTCATCGATTTGTACTTAAATTGTGCTTTCGAAATTGGCTCCAAGATTTACTTCATATGACTTACTGATCCAAAATATTATTTGCAAGAAAACAATAACCCATTTCAAGCTCGTGGAATTTAAATATTTTTTCACAGTCGTATTCTTGATCCAAAAATGTTACCCCCATCATTATAGATCCACAAACTTGCGTAAGTAACTGAAAATAAAGTTAGCGTTTAAAATAATGATGCTAAAATTTCGTTTAGGTGAAAATGCGTCGTATGTACATAAATTAATGGTTTTTGTCGTATACATACTCGACCTACGACGGCACTACATATGCACTTACTTTTTCCCTTGCAATGCGGATATCTACTCCGCATGTTGAGTTGAAGCCTTTGCAATATTCTTCTTTTGTATTTATGCTAGTCGGGGTTACAAACAAATAGTTGTGGATATTTTTTATATAATTGATATTACGCTGATTCACATAGCTAATGACCTCCGTATTTGATCGATTTTTCGACAAGCAAAACGTTATAGACGGAAATGTGTTATTCCAATGCAGAAAAGAAGTTTCCACACTTATACTTATCGAGTCAGAAAAGTATCTTTTCAGCATTAAAAGAAAAATTGATGACATATTCCAGCAAGATATACTGATAACCACGGCCCAAAATAATCTGCAATATATAAATATACATATGTATGCATGTAAAATCATTAACGTACAAAACGCTTATGTACATATCGCACACATAGATTTAATGAGAGCAAACTCAAAAAAAAAAAAAAAATGTAGGGCGATTTTTTTGCATAAATCAATTAAAGGACTTGCCTTCAATTAGAGCAAATATTTTTTCTTCATGATGATATACACTAATTAAAAAACTACTGTTATATCTGTTTTTGTATTAATCGCGTTGAATTTGTACAATCCATAAGCAGTTATATTTCCGGATCTGTTTTTTTTTTTTTGAATTAGCCCAGGTACATATTGTATTTGTACTAGAATAAATGTTAGGCATCGATATTTGTTATATGTACCTCGGTGTCGTAAAACACTGACGAATATATTTTATAAAAGCCACAGCTTTTATTTTGAGTAAATGATCTATTCGCATTTTGCCTTAAATTCAATGCTTAAAATCCATGTTTATGTTTACGTGACGGCAACTATGATTATCTGACTGGCAACAGTTTAACTTTTATTAGTTATGTTTGCCCCACTTCCATACCGATCTCGGTTCTGCAGTAATTAATAGATGCAATGCACGCAAACATTCTGTATGATGGTATTTATATATTTATGTAATTATACATATATATTAATATATAAATATTTACATATGTACTTTAGGGATGTTAATTTTTCGCTTTTTACGATCCCGGAATTTTCGGGATGTCGTTACCACACCTGTCTTAGACAGTTAAAATGGGCCCAGTGCCCGAAAATATGCTCTCCAAAAGAGACTAGTAAAATTAAAACGTTGTTACTGAACGATTTACGCATTGTCATGGGTTGGAACTTGTTACCAGGAGGTTTCTGGGCTTGCTAATTAGGAATCTGAAGTCAGTTTTTCAGAATTCAAAATGGGGCGGGTCCAAAATGGCGAAAACCGGCACTCGAGAATTTTTGGGGTCGCCGATTACGAATCTGAAGTAAATTTTTTGAGATTCAAAATGGCGGATCCAATTGGCGATCAAATTAAAAAAAAAATTCTAAAATTAAAACGTTGATACTGAACATTTTAAACATTGTCAGGAGTTGAAACTTGTTTCCAGTGGGTTTCTGGGGTGGCTGATTACGAATCAGATGTCAAATTTTCAAAATTCAAAATTGCGGTTAAGAGTTTCGAACAAATCTAATAATCGTGTCTCTTTTTTATCACAAAAAACAATATTCTGAAGTAGCGTTTATGAATTTCCAAAAAGAGTGTTTTTTGAACCACTCTAATGTACATAAATATATAAAATTTCTGTTGCCGATTTTTTTCACAACATACATACATAAGAAATCAATTCGGATATCTGAAAAAATCGACCACACAGACCATAATTTTTTTAATACAGTATTTATTTACACAATATATAGAGCGTACAAACTAGGGCTTTGCGATTAATTGATTACTCAAAATTTTGGTTAATCATAATTCAAGTTACTCAATTAATTGATTAATTTTAATATTTAATTAAAAACAACATTTACATGTGCCATTTCGATTCAGTTTGTTTTGTATAGCAATCCAAAAAGATAGTAAAATACCTTTTTAGCCCACAGCATTTAAAATACCAAGCACATAATATAACATGATGTTTTCAAGAAAAGAACATTAATATTATACTTTGCTTTACTATTCCGCCAAATTAGTGCATTTAGTATATGTATTGGCGATGATACCCTTCATTGAAGCCGACTTTCCATCCATGCTCCACCGACTGGCACAATCCTCAACAGATTTTCTTAAGTGCGGGTACGTAACTCCCATTTGGCATCAATAAAGTGGGTAGTTATTGTCATATACGATACGACTGCTCTTGATGTCCATGCGTCTGTCGTTAAGGCGAACATGTCTGCGGTTTTTAAATATTTGCAAGAGTGGTGACTGCGACAGTATGCAGCTTTTCAATATGATTATGGAAGTTCCTTGATACTTAAGCCATTTAAAAATAGTTTTTCATTTTACAATTTTCTATGCTTTTTGAAGCATGTTTTTTTTTAATTTTTTTACAATTATTTAAAAGCAAATATGTATATATATGAACAAAATGGACAGTTTTTTGAATAATTATTTTTAAAATTATTCATATCCTGTGGTAAAAAAAAAAAATTTAGAGTAATCGAATAATTGAGTAATTGAGCAATTGATTATTCAACTTGCTCGAATAATCAAATAAACGCACAGCCCTAGTACATACATATATTTATATATGTACATACATATGTAACATACATATATTTATGTGTGTACATATATATGTAACTAAATTATTTTGCAAGTTTCATATTTGCCGGGACTCAGTTATTTCTTTGAAGTATGTGACTATTGGTAACTCAGCAACAAATCCACTACTGCGTGTTGGAAAGGAGAGTATTGAATTCGATGAATTATTCTTAGCTATAGAGTTTTTTCCACTACCCATATTCGATATTCGCATTATTGCGGATTCCGGTGTGCTACTGGCCACTGGGGTGGTTGACTGTGGTAAACTTCGCGTTGCAGCAATCTGCAGAGAGGTCGATCTCCTGTTGTGTCTGCTTACTTTTAACCTTAGTTTGCTTGATTTGGTACTTCTTTGAGGCTCAGTTGTCGAATTAAGTATCGTTGTTATTATGGTGCTTGTCGGGGTGTTGGCACCCTTCACTTTTTCGTTTGTCTTTTCATTTGAGGGGCTCCATCGGCTGCGACTTTTCGTGTGAAACTTTATTTTTCGCTTTTTGAGAGTGTTATTAACTCGTAATAATGATCCCAGTTCCGTAGTCCGCGACGACGATATTATTTGACCGGGCGAAGGAAATGTTGAAGTAGTGTATTTTCTTTTTTCTTTGGTTTTCGCTTCAGTGGTTCGAATGGGTATCGACATTGTAGAAGATTTAGAAATTCTATCCTTTTCTTTAATTTTTTCTTTAAAAACTAATCTTCTGTTGATTTGAGCAATTTTGCCTCTCCTATATGTTGGCCGGCTGCTGCTTGTATATGGTTCCTGTGTAAAGTTCCACGACACAGTCGTTGATATATTGTCTAATTGTGGCACTTTGATTAAAGGTGTCGAGACGGTGGTGAAAGCGATAGTTGTTACAATAGGTAATGACCTAATGACTGTCAAAGTTGTGGAGACTTCTGTAGAAATATTATCTTCGGTATTATCTTTATTTTCCGAAGCACATTTTGTTTTTGTGTCTAATAAGGAATTAGAACAAGTAATGTTTTCAAACTGGTCGAGGCTCCAATGCATTTGAGTTGCTTTTGTATCCGTTAAGGCAAATGGATTGAAATCTTGTGAGCTACTTAAATGGTATGTAAGCACTTCATTTGTTGGTTGAGATAATTTAGCTTTTTGTTGTAAATTTATTGGATTCGACGCCATCGTCCACTGCTCTGAGGCTATAGCATCAGATTTCGGTTTGTTATAATCATTGGAGAGAAAAGTCTCATAATTTTTAAAATTAGTAGTTTTCTTCTCTTTTTTGAAGTCTGAGCTGACAAGCGCTCTAGGTGTGATTGCATCGCCTATAGTGAAATATATGTGAGATGTATTTATTGATTTTAGATGTGAGCTGGTGGAAAACACGTCTTGGGTGTACGGATTTCTGGTGCTAGGTTCCATACGCAGCGTAGAAGAAATATATTTTGTATTATTAGAGCGCACTTTGGCGAGCGGCGTGGGAAGAGTAGGCACTTTATCGATACAAAAAGGCAATATGTGGGCATAATTAGCACCGACTTTATATGCATTAACACAGTAATTTGAAATAACTGAGCTCATGGATGAAATTGGATTAGTAAAATATGGCTCCCGACTGTGAAAATTTATATTCAGCTTCTCTGGGGTTAACATGTAATAATTTGTCTTTGGTGTGGTGACGGCATTAAAACTTTTATATGGGAAGGCATAGTTTGGCCATTTCACATTCTTCAGCATACTAGTAGATCCTGGTAGATATCCGAGAGCGAAGTATCTGTAAGGATTCCTATTTTGAAAAAAATTAATTAATTATTATGTTTTAATTATAAACTTAAGAATCCTACAATTATCATTTATATTACCGATCTAGCCGAATGGCAACCTCACGGTAGGACCTGGATTCTTCTAGTTCTTTCTAACAGCGGCCCCCCTTAGCGGGGATGCCAAACCTCCGGGTATATACAGACCCGCTTCATAAAGAAATTAACGGTACTCTTCAATTTTTATATGATAATTGAAGTCGGGTTTGTTTTCAATTCGTCGAAATATATGTTTTTTGTTATATATGTTACCGCATAACTTTGTACCACGTTAAACGATATCTATATTTTTTTTTTTTTTAAAGGAAAGTTGTTACCTCACAGGTGGTCTCATACTAATTTGCTTTAAATCCGATAATGTCGTCATGAAGAAATTAACGATAATCTTAAATTTGTATATGAGAATTGAAGTCGGTTTCGTTGTTTGCTTAAAAATTACTTGTTAATTCTATATGTTTCCACAAAAAATGGCTGAAAAGTATGTTTGTATTTCATTACTGGACTTTTTGGCTATGCATCACTTGAGCAAATTCAATGGAATCCATAATTTATGCAAAAAAATAGTATTTGCTCAACTTATCGGATATGGAAAACCTATAGTTTCTACCTTTTTCCGTTCTGGTTCATCGGCAAGATTCCTCGATATGGATATTTTTTTGGAGGTAATATTTGCACTCTCTTACGCCTCAACATGTATTTGGGATAGTAAACAGGTAAGAAGGGCATTTGAGATCTTTCGGCATTATGCCGATGGAAAGACAATCCGTTTGTGCTGCGGCCTGTAAGGCTGTTAAGTAGCGCCGTCGGTTTGGCATATTCATATAACCAGCTCTGCAAAAATATCGAAAAATTGAAATTGAATTGAAATGTGATAGTCCAAAAAAAAAAAAAAAAATGATGTATGTTAATTTGCATCGTGTAAAATTCATTGCTGCAGTAATTTCGTATTCTTGCAATCTAATTTTTTTTGGTGTCAGTAAAAACTTTTAAGTAAAATTAAAAACTCACGTGATTAATCTTGTCATGCACTCCTGGTCTTTGAAAACTCCAAGTGTTCTGTAATGAGGCTAATATAAGAAGATTATTTTTAAATTGTACACATATGTATTTTTGGACGATGTGTGAATATGCCAGATTGTTTTAGTTAGCGCATGATTGAAAAAAATTAAAAATTGGAATATCCAACTTGCGGCGTATGCAAATATTCTGTTCAATATCATGAACCGAGCATTTTTTTTTGATGAAGTAATATTTTAAACACAAAACATTTAAACAAAATGGGTATTACAGGCCTGTTCTATTCACAATTCAAAAAGTGCGTTAATTTCAATGACGGCAGTATTCTGGTCACACTGCCCATACCCGTGTTTCCTAGAAAATTTGCACAGTAGAAATAATATATACAATTCTTAAGTATATTATTTTAAATTATATACTTGCACCCAGGGCAAATAAAATTAGTTTTATATTTATCAAATTGCGATTCATCTTGGTATGGTGACCGTTTTGATTCGAAGATATTTTCAAACTAAGTATGCTTTCTCTAGTACAGCAGCATATCTAGAGCCGAGACCATCCAGCGTGACCGATTCACTTACATTTTTTATTGTACATACATATATGTATGTACATATATAGTAATTGGTGTAGTTTATGCCCAGACATACATATGTACATATGTACATGCATTCATATGAGGCATTGAAAAAGAAAAATAGTAATATGCGTTGCGTTCCAATTGAGTGAAAGTTGGCAACAGGTGAAATTTACCGTTAAATCGTAGGTGTGAATATAGAAGTAGAAAGAAGTTCGACGGTTATAAAAAATCGCATGCAGCATCCTTCGCCAATTTGACGTCTTGCGTCAATGTTCGCTTTATATTTTGCAATATTTTATTTTATATAGAGAAAAACATACATACATATATGTACATAATGTACGTACTATAGTGCTCTGGAATTTATGTACTTAGATGGTTGAACTTTCATGCACTCGAAAATATTCGGAAAACACCAAATGAAGCCAAGTCCCACTACACCTGATCATTCCAACGCTGAGCAAGCGTTCCCCTTCCAATAGCAGGTGGCACCACATTGGATACTCTCAGATAATGTTAAACGCCATTGACAGACCCAACGCTACTAGGACTGTTCTCTCACAGGGGCGGTTACGCTTAAGGCCCCCGATTTATATATGTGTTTATGGCGTTAAGTGCTGTTGTGCTGTGCACTTTACGGAAGCCATGCTCATGCTTCGCTGGGGTCAGATTTTATGTGAACTGCGGAAGTAGCCATGCCTAAAGGTTCTTCGCGGCCGGGGAAAGCAGCGTTATCGATCGATAAGACTCTCCTTTGTTGGCCTGTTTCCCCGGTTTGAGCCATTGGGACCATTCTTCCCGATTTTCACACATCGGGAATGTTTTTAGTTGCCATTGATAAATTGAGAACCTTGGTGAAATACCTGGACTTCACCACTGGTGAAAGCAAGTGGTGTACCACTTTAGGTCAGTTTGTGGGAAGGGCGGTGAAGGTGTTCTCAGTAACCTCCGCGAAACCGTTCCAATTAGTTCGGTTGAAATTGAAATAGGTTCGGTGGTCCTGTTGAAATTGAACTAGGCGGTAGGTGGCCGATGCGCTTGTTAGCATAAGTCGCCGCGTTATGCTTTTTATCAAACCTGTGCTAGCTATTGTTAGGTTTGGCGAGTTGCTTCAGCTACCTACAATAAGGGTAGGGCCGTTTCGTTCATGGTGCAGAATGTCTGAACTTCTATCTGCTTAGTCAATACCTTTCCCCTGCGGTCGTTGGCCAGGCTTGAGTGCCTAAGATCGCAGTGCGCGTTAAAATCGCTTACTACGATACGGTTTTCACCTCTAAGTAACACATATTTCAGGGTAATATCCTGCCGGACAGCAGGCGACAGGGAGTATATAAACGTTAAATATTTCGAGCTCGACATCGCTTGACCGGACATGCATGAACTCTCTCCGAGGGTAGTGTCCCTGGGGTCGATGTCTTCTTTGATTAGCCGATACTGCGCAGTGTGATGTAGGTCATCCTACATCCTCCACCATTGTCTCGCTTGCGGTTTTTACAGAGCACATTGTAGGCGGCGCAGCAGTCTTCGTTTCGCTGACCCATAAAGATGGTTATCTCTTCGACCTTGTTTTGGAGTCCGTTGCAGTTTAGTTGTAGTAGCTTTGTACACCTTGGGAGGCTGGACGCGATGTGGTGGTAAGAGAAGTGTGGTGTATTCTACCTTGGTCCTGTTGCGCTTGCCGCTGTGGTGGTTGCTGCCTGGTGGTAGATGGCTGCATTGGTTGTGTTGATGCTGCAGAGTTGGCGTGTGGTACGCAAACATACACGAGACACACGAAAAAGACTGTGTGGGCACCAAGAGGCGCGGTTAGCCTTCGCACGCGAATTGGTGGCTTTGATTGTTGCTCCTATGCGCTTTTTGAAGCCGTGCTGGCTCTTTCGGTGCTGATGCCGTATGCGACCTAAGGCCTGAGCAGGTTTTTAGATGACTCCATCCATTAAAGGTATTGCATCTAACCGAAGTGAAGTTCGGATGAAGTCGTCTCTGGAAACGCACTAAAAGTAGATTTCTGGTCCGGGATTGGACGCAATACTCACCCAGAGGAGAAGGATGCATGGTATTGCTCCATGGACGAAAAACGATAGTTCAATAGTTCGCTCCGGTCTTAAAACCTTCCATAAATTGCAGATTTCTTAAATTTTTTTGACTTGCTGCGTAAATTTTGGCTTATTTATTTTGTACACAATTAAAAGTTCCTGGCGGGCAATTTATTCACTTTTAGAACTTTTATAAAATAACTAAATTAGAAATTTGAGGAAAAAAAAATAAGAATGCCCTTTTTGAATTTAATAAGTAATGCTTTTATTTAATGAAATTTTTATCCAGTAGTAATGCGACGATAGTTCAGTTAACCATTCCTCACGAATAACAGTTATATCGCTCATAAAAAGTTTTGTCGTATGAACCAATTCTGTGAAAAGAATATATTGTGGTTGTGGCAATGTATACAACGTTGAAAGTGGGTGTATGTAGAAGTTAAGACCTCTTGTATTCTTTTATAGACACCCTCATTCGAAAGTACTTAATCTCAAATGGTGACTGGTACTGAAATATATAGAAATCGAATAAGTAAAGTTGTACATCATGCATAGGTATATAGATCTATTATTATTTTATCTGAATCTTTGCGCCCTTATATTTAATACAACCAGGAACCGTTGACAAAATTGTGAATTCGTAGGCTGCGACCTCACTGTAAACACCTGTCAAGTTAGAGAGCAAGGTTGATTTTTCCACCGATGGGAACCCTACGAATCTCCCGTTTTTGCAACCTCAAAGCCTGTACGAAAGATAATGCTATCTCTTTTACCAGTAAACCATATGCAAATTCTGTACCAAATATTTCAACGCTGGAATGAAGAACACGTAAACCTATCGATGTAGTATATTCATTTATCCAATACTGAAAAAATATTTGTATTTAAAATTTTATATCTGATTATATGTACATATATAAAATGAAAATATTCGATATTTATCATGTCACAGCATGCTACGTTGCTCATATGCCCATGAATAGATGCGTGTTATCCTTTCTGATTCATTCGCCGGCTGTAATAACCACTTCAGCGCCAAATTTACTTGTTATTTGCAAAAATTTTCGAAATTAAACAATGATATTTTATTTGCAAAAATTATGCTTTCGCGCAATTTTCTCCAAGGTATAGTATATTTTTTCGTATCGTATATTTTTTCTTTCAAGGTATAGTATATTTTTTCTTTGCTGTTATCACCAAGTGGCCTTTGCCGCCTCATGAACAAAAATTAAGTTTGTTGCAAATTTGTAATGTCTAAATTTCTGCTGGTTCACTGTCTCCATGAATAAAAGTTTGTAGGTTAATTTATTAGCAATGACTGGAATTCTGAAATTAAAAGGTGACAGGCTGGCAGTACATGCATAAATTTCACTACTACACTTACGGTGTGGTCAGGATTATCAATTTACTGAGAATTACATCAAAATTCCATCGTCATTATATCATGTATCAGGTTTGTGGTCAGGATTACGAATTTACTCAGGATTTCATCGAAATTCCATCATTATATCACAAATCAGGTTTATTGTCAGGATTACCAATTAACTTAGGATTGCATCGAAATTCCGTCGTCATTATATCGTAAATCAGGAAAGTTTCAAAGTTTCGTGGTTCCCAACGTTTTATCAGTGTGAAGGGAATAAATATGTATGGTTTGAGGAATTTCCAGACAATTCTGATTTTATCGTGAAATCTTTAGTGTATTTCTGTAGTTTTATTTTCCGAAAATAATGATGATCACATAGAAATCAGCTAAAATGCGCCGACACCAAGGAACTAAGCCCATTTTGTTTTTGTTTCGTTGTATGTATTTGTATTAGATCACCTCGACAATGTTTCTTTTGCCTTGAGTTTACTAATTTATTCAGGATTATATTTCCATCTTTATAGTATACATCAGGAAGAAAACGTTTTGGTACACGTTGAAGGTATTTCGAAAGTATTTTCCCCAGGATTACATCGAAATTCCGTCGTCAATATATCATAAATCAGGTTTATTATCAGGATTGCCAATTAACTCAGGATTACATCAAAATTCAGTCGTCCTTGTGCGTCAAGAGGAAAACGGGAACAACTTTCTATTCGTTTTTAGTTTCTCACTTTTGAGAATTCAACAATATTTAAAAAATAGCTAATAACTTAATAAAAATGAAAACATCATAATTTTTAACTGTTTAAAATATGAGCAGAATTCGTATTGCCAATCGCGGGAAAATTAATAATATCCCAACAATTTCGAAAAAAGTGAATACCTATAACTTCGGTGATTCGAATTTCGTTGCCAACAAGAAAAAAATTTATTCCAAAAAAACATAAACCTTTGCAAAATATCAAATGCTGTTGCTTTATATGTACATATGTATATTGCCAAAAACATTTTTTTTTGCTGTGAAAATTTTGATAAAGAAAGATAAGAAGTTGCTCTACTGTTTGCCCAAAATGCGGTACCTGTTGGAATCGAGACGTCAATGCTGGGGAAAACATACTCTACCTGTGAGAATGTATCATCAAGGAAAACGAAAAACACGAAAATTTTCGAAAATAAGATGCCACTATTTCTCATACAACGGCAACTGTGTACATCTGATTGTGAAAACAGTTTAACTTTAATTAGTTATAAGGTGTATTCCAGCAAAAAACTCCCAACAGCAAAATTCGAATGCATTTCTATCTGTTCTCTCTCAAAGAGAGAAATGGTTGCTAAAGTACGCGAACGCTAAACTTGCAAGTTTTTAGTACAGCTGATCGAAAGAATGTTAACATACAAAAGCATAAATCAGAAAACATGAAAAGA